GTGTAAAACACCCAGAAATGTCACGGAAATTTACATGATCTACATTTTGTCCGGATACTTTTGGCAGGTGAGTGTATTATTGTTATTTGATAATGCACCAGTACATATTCTTGAAGAAAATACTATTTTAACAAACATCACCCTTCACCATCTTCCTCCAAACACGACTGCTTTTTTACAACCTGCTGATGCAGGAATCATTAATTCATTCAAAGTATCTATTTAAAGTAATAAATAATTTTTTTCATAATTTCAAATAATTATTTATTTGTCTTATATGTTTTTCAGACTCATTATAGGAAATTGCTTGTTAGAAACAGAATTGATACTTATGATATGCATCAGAACCTTGGTACTCCTCTTCAGACATTAAAAATATCAGATGCAATCACTCTTTGCTCAAGTGCTTGGAAAGAGGTAACTGCTGAAACAATTAAAAATTGTTGGTTAAAAACAGGTATTTTACCAATTTCTGAGAATGCCATGGAGGTAGATACAAATAGCAATAATCAACAAGTCAGCGACCTTCAAAATTTAATTGGTGAATTAAGCACAATTGAAACTTCTGATAAATTAGATGCAGAAGAATTTATTACAATCGATAATGATGATAGTCTAGAAACTGAAGGTGCCGAAATTACTGATGAGGAAATAATTAGCTGTGTAAGACCTACAATACTTGAAACGGAACCAGAAGGAGAAGAAGTTCCACAAATGATTACTACAACAGAAGTATTAGAGTCTTTAGATACAGTGATTTCTTATATTAAAAATCCACCTCAAAACCTTGTTTTTGAATTAAAACACATTAATTCAATTAATGCAATCAAAAATCAAATAGGTAAACACGAAATTAATTCAAGAAGACAAGCCACATTGGAAACATGGTTTAAAAAATCATCATAAACTGAGAAATACATCCTTTTATATAATTATTATAATTATAACATTTAAAAATTATTAAAATTATTAATAATGTATAAATTAAAATAATAAAATTTAACTTGATTTTTCACGTGACATTTGACGATCTTTTTATATAGTGAAGTTTTTCTGAAAACAAGTTCTTCACTATATCGAAAGTCGACTGTAGTTGGCACCGAAAATACTAACAAGAAAACCAAAAATAAAAATAATAATAAAAAGTTTTCCGTAATTAAATTCCGTAATAGTAACAGTAATATTATTAATTCCCGTGATCTAATAATTACTATTTTACATTATCATTGACATAACAAAAAATTGCATCACCCAAGTAATAAATAATACCAAGACCATGCAGAGAAAAGAAACCATTTAAGGAACATGATTTCGAAATAATATTGTGTATCTATCTATCTACCCATGTCTCTAGGATCAAAAAAATATTTTTCTTTTTTTTCCAATGCATTGCTTATGAATAATAAATAAATCTGATGTTGATTACAGGTGTCAGATTTGATTCAACAAATTTCCTCTTGCAAACATGCAATCGGATGCTTTCACACCTCCTCATAACCATGGGATTTTTTTTTCCATGGGTGAGGTAATCAAAACATTGGAAGGCTTTGGAGGAGTGAGAGGCTTTGGCCAGCATTGGCATTTCTCCATTTATGATCAGAAGTAGCTGAGACAGTGAAAAAAAATATATTCCACAAATCATCAGCTGCCACAAAAGTTTGCATCCATTTTAATTCATCTGATTGATTCTTTTAAATTAATTTGTTGTGCAAGTTGACTTTGGCTAGTTCAATTGCACCCAGGGAATTACCATACATCTAACTAGCTTTAGCCATCTCATTTCCTTGACAATGATGTGATTTTAGTAAACCTCAGAGCAACGCGCCCCCCCTGAATTTTAAATCACATTATATCATCAGGGTGGGCAGTCAAATTAGCCTTATATGCACGAGGAATGAAAAGAATGGTTGAAAGTTGCTGGTCATAACTTTTTGTGATGGTTGCAACTAACTTTTACGACCACCTTTGGTTCATGAGATGAAACAAAGTCCAAGCATGTGCATACAGTTTTCCACATGAGAGTGTTCTTCTTGTTTCTGACATTTACCTAATGAAAATATTAATAATAACGACAACATGAAGACATACATACCAATCATTTGTTATCAAGTAAGTTTTGCCTCAAGTTCTGTTTAGGCTATTTATTGTGCCTGCCAGGAAAAAATAAAAAAAAATTGTATATAGTTGGTTAATAACACGTCTTTGAAACCAAAAAAAAATTTTTTTTGAAAAGAAAAAAAGAGACAAGTGGCATGTGTCTCAAAAGGAGTTAATTGATCATAATCATCATAATCACTTGTTTTAATAGTGTGTAATGCCCCTTAATGATTAAAAATCAAGTGATGACAATATTGATATATATTGATTTGCCCCTAACCAATTAATTCAATTGATCTCTTAAAAGAAAAAAAATGGACTCAAATGAAGCAAAAAGAAGAAAAAAAGCAGACATTTACGAAATTCGAGGGTAAGTATTGTTTTTTTTCCAAGGTGGTGGTTGCATGCAACCGTTGCTGCTATTCTAGTTATATATATTTACCAGAAATTTGATCAAGACTGCATTTAATGAATGACAGTACACCGAAAAGCGATGCAAAAAGTTCTATTTCTAATGATACATTACAGTCAGGGATTTTACCAAATTTGGGAATTTCCAATACTGTAATGATAAACGTGGCAAATGTGGCAAATGCAAATTTTGATCAACAAATAAACAAGTTTGTGGCAAATTA